GAGGGAGGGTGTAGGGGAGGGAGGGGTGTGGGGGGGAGGAGGGTGTGGGGGAGGGGGAGGGTGTGGGGGGGGGGAGGGAGGGTGTGAGAGCTGTCCAGACATCACCCACCACAACCTCCTCTCCTCCTCTTCCCTCTCCTCCCCATCTCCTCCTCCTCTTCCCTCTCCCTCTTCTCTCCTCCTACACTTGCCTGTCCGTCCATCCGTCTGTCCGCCCGTCCGTCCGTCCGTCCGTCCCCGTCCGTCCGTCCGTCCACAAGGGGTCTGCAGGGAACTTTTCGTCGCCATTTTCACCCCGTATCAGTTATTAACATCAGAGGAAGACCAGGAGATGAACGTACCACGGCCATCACCACGTTATAGTGTGTGTGTGTGTGTGTGTGTGTGTGTGTGTGTGTGTGTGTGTGTGTGTGTGTGTGTGTGTGTGTGTGTGTGTGTGTGTGTGTGTGTGTGTGTGGCAGGGATGCTGGCTGATCACACACACGACTGAGGAAGAGAGAGAGCAGTATAATAAACACATAAACGAACCATGACGTTGATATAAGCTGACCTCCGAGATGTCAACAGGTAGATAGATCCCCATTCACCTCACCTGCTGCCTCACATACTTTCCCTGTCTCACACTCTCTCTCTCTCTCTACCCCTCACACTTTCCCTGCCTCACCTTTCCTGTCTCCACACTTCCCTGTCTCCACACTCTGTCTCTTTACCTCACACACCTTCCCTGTCTCACACACTCTTTCTCTCTCCTTACCTCACAACACACTCTCTCTTTCCCACACACACACACACAAACACACACACCCTAACCTCAAAACACACTCTCCCTGCCTCACTGTTTTTCTGGAATTAGTTAAAAGAAGTTACAACAACAGCCGGCACTTGAGAGCTAAAGTCGTGTCTCCATTATGAGGTAAAATAAGGCAGGGTGGAACGTCTTCTCAGGGACCAGTTCCGCCTGAAGATTGCAGGAGAAACTATAAACACTGGCAGGCATTTCAGGAGTTCCAGGGGGTGGGTGGGGGGAGGGGCTCTCACACGGAAATAACTGACCCGTCGCTAAAATATTCCCCAAACTGGCAACTGGCCAACCGCACGTGGCCGACACATTTACCCCTCTCCCCTCTCCCTATCTCCCCTTCTCCCTCCCCTCTTTCCCACTCAATCTCCTATTCTCCCTATCTATCTCTCCTTCCCTCTACCCACTCAAAGCCCTTCCCCACTCAACCTCTTGTCCTTTCTTCCTTAACCCTTCCCCTCCTTTTCACCCCCCTCCTCTACACTACCTTCCATTCCCTCTCCCCTTCCCTCAACCCCTACCCTCCCCTCAACTCCTTCCCCATAAATCCTCCCCCAAATCCTTCCCTCCTCAACCCTTCCTCCCTCAAACACTTCAACCCTCCTCTCCCCTCACCCTTACTCCCTTCAAACCTCCCCTCCCTCCCATCACCCTCAAAAGGCCATACTCCCCTAACACTTTAATCTCCCTTAACAACTTCCTATACTGATTAAAGCTTTCACAGGGGGATGACAAAGCTAACCCCAGGCATTAGACCTTGACTATAGAGACACATTAAAACAGCCACCACCTCTAACACCTTGTACACTACAGCTACCCACACCTCCAACACCCATGCACTACACAGCTACACCACACCTCTAACACCCGTACTACACAGCTAAACCACCTCTAACACCCCGTACACTACAGCTACACCACACCTCTAACACCCCGTACACTACACAGCTACACCACACCTCTAACACCCCGTACACTACACAGCTACACCACACCTCTAACACCCATGCACTACACAGCCACCCACCTCTAACACCTTGTACACTACACAGCTACACCACCTCCCTAACACCCGTACACTACTGCTACACCACCTCTAACACCCGTACACTACACGCTACACCACACCTCTAACACCCGTACACTACACAGCTACACCACCTCTAACACCCATGCACTACACAGCTACCACACCTCTAACACCCGTACACTACAGCCACCACCTCTAACACCTTGTACACTACACAGCTACACCACACCTCTAACACCCGTACACTACAGCTACACCACACCTCTACTGCACACACAGCTACACCACACCTCTAACACCTGCACTACCAACGCTACACCACACCTCTAACACCCGTACCTACAGCTACACCACACCTCTAACACCCTACACTCAGCTACCACACCTCTAACACCCGTACACTACAGCTACACCACACCTCTAACACCCATGCACTACACAGCTACACCACACCTCTAACACCCTCCTACAGCTACACCACACCTCTAACCCGACACTACACAGCTACACCACACCCTACACACGCACACCCGTACACTACACAGCTACACCACACCTCACACCTCTACACAGCTCACCACACCTCTAACACCCGTACACACACGCTACACACCTCTAACACCCCGTACACTACACAGCTACACCACACCCCGTACACTACACAGCTACACCACACCTCTAACACCCCGTACACTACACAGCTACACCACACCTCTAACACCCCGTACACTACACAGCTACACCCTTGGGCTCACTAATCCTTTCATTAATCACACGTCGATTAGTCGAGTGTGATTCACCCTACAACGAGGCTAGACACAGACAGACAGACAGACAGACAGACAGAGCTTTATACAAGTTAACAGCGGTTCACGGTATACAAAGACAGCGTAGGTTTGGTTTGGTTTGGTTAGGTTAGGTTAGGTATACAGTCAATGCCACACAGTAAATTAATTCAGCAAAGGAGAGCTCTTTGTCACGCAAATTTACCAGGTGCTTCCCCCCTCTGTATAGACCGGGGTGAGTTGGTGATGGTGGTAGTGGTGGTGGTAGTGGTGTGTGGTGGTGTGGTAGTGGTGGTGGTGATGTGGGTGTGGTGTGGGTGGTGGTACTGGTGGTGATAGTGTGAGTGAGTGATGGTGGTGGTAGTGGTGGTAGTGATGGTGGTGGTAGTAGTGGTGGCAGTGGTGTTGATGGTGATGGCGGTGTAGATGGTGGTAGAGTGGTGGTAGTAGTGGTAGTAGTGATGGTAGTAGTTATGTGATGTGGGTAGTGGTGTAGGTGGTGGTGCTGGTGTGACAGTGTGAGTGAGTGATGGTGGTGGTAGTGGTAGTGATGGTGTGGTGGTAGTAGTGGTAGTGATGTGGGTGAGTGATTGTGGGTGGTGGTACTGGTGGTGACAGTGTAGGTAGTGATGGTGGTAGCGTAATTTACTATGCAACAGGTAAGGTCACATAAAAGATGCCATTTATACTTACATGTAACACTGCAAAGGCTCTCTCACACGCTACACCCTGCAATGAAGACGGCCAGTGTGCAGTACTCTAACATCATCATCATAATAATAATAATAATAATAATAAAATAATAATAATAATAATAATAATAATAATAATAATAATAATAATAATAATTAATATTTTTTACAGTATTTAAGTAATACATGATTTTTCGTATTAGTATTAGTAAAATTTACACACACACACACACACACACACACACACACACACACACACACACACACACACACACACACACACACACACCATTGAACAATACAAAACACAGTAAATTCTCTCCCCAGGATGAACAACAATACATCATCTTCTTCCTCACCAAATTAAATTGAACATGGCAATAATTTTCCTCTAGTTCAACACCACACCATTTCCCTTCAACAACGTCTACATAACACCCGACCTTTCTCTTTAAACAGTAAAAAAAAAGGTAAAAAAATTAATAAATGAAACAGAACAAACTCATTAGACCATTTTTTTGTCTAGGTTAATTAAAGCGACACGAGCATATAAATTTTTATCCTAGTATGAACAGCATCCATAACGTACTTGCTTTTCCTAGTATAAACAGCGTCTAGTACCATTAACGATGTGCTATTAATTAAAAGTTTAGATGGAATTACTATTATTATTTCTTTTTGTTTACAGAATTATTAATGTTTTTGTTTTACGTTTTACACAAGGATGATTCACCCCCCATGAGGCGCACAAATTTTCCTGGCCCGTGTTTTTCCCAGGACGACTCGAGAACCATCACAACTCACTGGCTGGCGGGAGGGAGGGAGGTATCTCTTTCTCTAATTTACTATATTTCTTCTTTTTTCCTCGCTTATTCTCTGTTTTCTCTTCTCTTATTATCTTTCCTATTTCTAATTCTCTACCTTTTCTCGTCATTCCCCCTCTCTCTCTCTCCTACGTATTTTCTCTCTGTCTATCTCTCATTCTCACTTTACTCTTCTCTCTTTCTCTCAGTCTATCACTTTCCCTCTTCTCTCTCCCCCTAAAAACATCAAACGAAACAAAATGCAAAATACAAACACAAATACGAAACATTTCTAAAAAAAAAAAAAAAAACACGATTAAAATTACTTCACGCCAAAAATCATTAGACGAAGGAGATCATCAAGAGCTTAGCAGAGAGACAGTGGGAGACTTTTTAACCTGATGGTGAAGACGACGAAGGAACGGCAGGAGAGATACAAGACCCAGAGGAATTAGACCTGTGGAGAGAGAGAGAGAGAGAGAGAGAGAGAGAGAGAGAGCCCTAATTGGACACACACAAACGAAATTTTCAAGATGTCCCCAAACCCAGGCTTCTAATTGTCAGGCAACATAAGGGTGAAACTCGGGCAACATAAGGGTGAAACTCGGGCAACATAAGGGTGAGACTCAGGCAACATAAGGGTGAGACTCAGGCAACATAAGGGTGAGACTCAGGCCTTAGGGTGAAACTCAGGCAACATAAGGGTGAGACTCAGGCAACATAAGGGTGAAACTCAGGCAACATAAGGGTGAAACTCAGGCAACATAAGGGTGAAACTCAGGCAACAAGAGCGCTTCCCCTCCTCATATTTCCCGAGTATTTTCCAGCGCCTCCAGACAGCTGAGGAATTCTGGCATTTAGAGGAAAACTTAGACAACAGAACTTCCATAGATGATGAACTTTTACCACACCAACACAACTTTTTGTACATCATTAGAACTTTTTCCATATCAAGAGAACTTTTTCTACACCAACAGTCCTTCTACACCAACAGACCTTCCACACCAACAGACCTTCCACACCAACAGACCTTCCACACCAACAGACCTTCCACACCAACAGACCTTCCACACCAACAGTCCTTCCACACCAACAGACCTTCTTCCACATCAACAGACCTTCTACACCAACAGACCTTCTTCCACACCCAACAGTCCTTCACAACAGACCTTCTTCCACACCAACAGACCTTCTTCCACATCAACAGACCTTCCACACCAACAGACCTTCTTCACACCAACAGACCTTCCACCAACAGACATTCCACACCAACAGACCTTCCACACCAACAGACCTTCTTCCCACACCAACCCTTCCACATCAACAGACCTTCCACACCAACAGACCTTCTTCCACACCCAACAGACCTTCCACACCAACAGACCTTCCACACCAACAGACCTTCCCACCAACAGACCTTCTTCCACACAGACCTTCCACACCAACAGACCCACAGACCTTCCACACACCTTCCACACCAACAGACCTTCCACCAACTCCACAAAACAATACTCTCGATACTTCACATTTTTCCTTCCCAGTTTACTGAAAGAAGTTAAAGTTGAAAAGTTGGATTGCTAGAATAAAACTTCCCATTCCTTCCACAGTTCTTAGCAGTTGTTGTGCATGAATAAACAAAACCTTGTGAACTGAGGTGAAGGGGAGAGGGAGACAGGGGGGGGGGGAGGGAGGGGGAGAGTCATATTAAAGCTCAAAGCTTTGTGAACCAAACTTAAAAGGTTAAAATTTTGGGGACGGTGCTGTGTGTGTGTGTGTGTGTGTGTGTGTGTGTGTGTGTGTGTGTGTGTGTGTGCGTGTGTGTGTGTGTGTGTGTGTGTGTGTGTGTGTGTGTGTGTGCCCCCTTCATGATTTGAGCAGACTAAAGGGTCCGAAATGGATTAAGTCAACACCGGGTGAACTTGCTACTTCGACATAACAGGTGAGGAGTAGGAGGGTGAGGGGTGGGAGTGGGAGGGAGGGTGGGAGGGAGGGGGGGGGAGGAGGAGGAGAAGGAGCGAAGGGTGTAGAGTGTTGGGATGGAGGGAGGTGGTAGTGGTAGTAGTGGAGGAGGTGGTAGTGGTGGTTCCTACAGGTAAGAACTAGTTAAGTGTAATGAACTCTGGTTGGGTAAGAAGAAGAAGAAGAAGAACAACAACAACAACAACAACAACAACAACAACAACAACAAGGAAAAGAAGTAAAAAAAAAACCTCTTTCTGTCTACATAAACTGGGGGAAATTTTTCGAGAAATCTGGGAAAAGCCTGAGTGAATGTTCCTGAATTTCAGTACCTGGATGGCAGTCTCCCCCACACACACACACTAGCTTGAATTTTTTTTAACTTACTAACATAAAAAAAAACTAACGTGTTAATATTTTACTGCGACTTAATCTTAATTAAATACATTCACTTAGCATTAATTAAGAGACAAAATGGAGGCGTTGTTAATATTGGAACAGATTTATGACCTTGATTTATTACAAAGATTGGTGAATGTATTTAGTTTAACCCTTTGAGCCCTTGGGGGTTAAATCACCCTCCTCAAAGGGTTAAAAGATCATCCGTCAACCCAGCCATGTACGTCAATACCCCACGTGTACATCTGTCAACCCAGCCATGTACGTCAATACCCCACGTGTACATCCGTCAACCCAGCCATGTACGTCAATACCCCACGTGTACATCTGTCAACCCAGCCATGTACGTCAATACCCCACGTGTACATCTGTCAACCCAGCCATGTACGTCAATACCCCACGTGTACATCCGTCAACCCAGCCATGTACGTCAATACCCCACGTGTACATCTGTCAACCCAGCCATGTACGTCAATACCCCACGTGTACAGCCGTTACCACACACCAGACAAGCTCCTGGTTTTGAACAAAGTCATGCGAGGGTTTTTTTTTTCCACTAACAGAGTGTAAAAGAGAACGTGTCTGGTCAACTCTCCGTAATATTTCCACGACACACACACACACACACACACACACACGGGTACTCTCTGGCCGGGTATTCATAAAGACTTACAAAGAATTGCAATACACGGCCCAGCCATTTACATCGACCGCAGTCATTTCCGTAATTAGGGCGAGCGACTGAGAGGCCCCGGCCAGTCAGTACACGCTCGGGGTAGGACACGGTGTCCCTAGTGCTGGGGGGTGGACACGTTCAGGTAGGAAGGACACGGAATCCCTGGCTCTGAGATAGACATGAAAGCTGGTACACTAGCCATGGACAGCTGGTACACTAGACATGGACAGCTGGTACACGAGGGTACAGACATTCACCATCTGCAATCCCATACCAACATCTAAGCTAATCTGACCCATATTATTATCTTCTTCTTCCTCTCATCTTCTTCGGTTTGTTGTTGTCGTTCTTCTAACCACCAAATTGCGTAGTTCAATAACACTCTCCTACACTTGTATTTAATGATGGTACAAAATCAAAGTGATGTACTAATTATACAAACAAACTAATTAGAAAAACGAAAAAAATGAAGAAATGCATTAATAGTTGTTGATAATGAATGCATATTTAAAATAAACATCAAAAGACACGCCATTAAAATATAAAATTGATTCCAAATGCTGAAAATATTAGAAAATAAAATATTTCTTTTTATGAATACCAGTATATACGTATAATATTTTTTCTCGGTGAATTTACGTATAAAAAAGTGAACTTCAAACGCATATCCATCGTCGGCCATATTTGTTGATATGTAAACAATGACGTATAGAAGCCCCGCCCCTTTTTTGAATCTCTTGGTCCCTCCTTGCTCGCCTCGATGACGTGTTGATGACGTAATTACACGCCGCTTTGTTTACCCATCCCGGACCCATGTGGGTGGTTGATAGGCGGTGGAGATGAGGTGGCTGAGGAAGAGTCTCTCTCTCTCTCTCTCTCTCTCTCTCTCTCTCTCCCCAGGTCGTGTCAGATATATAAAGGCTAAATGTTCATCTCCTCCTACAATCATCACTAACTCAACTATTTACAGTAGTCTGGGTTAAGTCGGCTTAAGTCAGATATACATATGTAATGAAAGGTAATGTTAGAAAGTGTTAATACAGGGTCCTTGGATAGTGGTAGGTGGTGGTAGTTGTGGTAGATGGTGGTAGTTGTGGTAGATGGTGGTAGTTGTGGTAGGTGGTGGTAGTTGTGGTAGGTGGTGGTAGTTGTGGTAGATGGTGGTAATTGTGGTAAGTAATGACAGAGGTACAGTGAGGAGTCAGTGAGTGCAGCTGATGATGACAAAGTGCCTGGTGATGGCACTCTCCCCCACCCTAGTTATGGCACTCCTTCCCCTAGTTATGGCACTCCCCTCCCCAGTAATGCACCAACCCCCCACCCCTAACTGGGCACAGTCACCCCACTGAGACACTAAGTTCAGGCAATAACGAAGCAACGCCATTATACTGATGCACTTGACCCCCCACACAGTACCACAGTCACCCTTCCACTACCACAGTCATCACCACTACACAGTCACCACAAACAACCATCACATGATTATTCTTCTCATCACCACCACCACCACCACCACTGCTACCATCATCACTACCACCACCAACACCACCACCACCACCGCCACCACCACCACCACCACCACACCGCTACCATCATCACCACCCACCATCAACGCCACCATCACCACCACCGCTACTCATCATCATCACCACCACCACCACCATCACCACCACCACCACCACCATCACTGCCACCATCACCATCACCGCCACCTCATCACCGCCACCATCACCATCATCATCACCACTACCACCACCACTGCTACCACTCACCACCACCACCATCACCACCACCATCACCACACTGGTTTCATCATCACCACCACCAGTACCGCTATTATGGTACACTGGACACGGGTACAGAGGACTGGCGTGGGTGGAGGGTTCACAGACATGGTGGTAGAGGTGTGTGGCCAGGAGGGAGTGTGGACAGGAGGGGTGGGACAGGTGAGGGTGTGGACAGGTGAGGGTGTGGGACAGGTGAGGGTGTGGGACAGGTGGAGGTGTGGGACAGGTGTGGACAGGTGAGGGTGTGGACAGGTAAGGGTGTGGACAGGTGAGGGTGTGGACAGGTGAGGCTGAAAGATCGTCCAGCTGCCTGTTGATGGAGGCAAGAGGGAGGGATGAGGGGGGGGAGGGGGTGGAGGGGGATGGGAGAGGGAGAGGGAGAGAGGGAGGGAGGAGGATGGGACAGAGTGAGGGGATCTCTATTGCCTTTGGTGGTGACGTGCAGTGAGCATTACCTCCTCTTCCTCCCTCCTCCCTTTCCCTCTTCCCTCCTGCACCCCACTCTTAAGATTATATGCCGTCCCACGGGCAGGCACGACCAGAGAGAGAGAGAGAGAGATCACAGCGCCAAACGTGACTGGCACTACCTCACACCTGGCACTACCTCATACCTGGCACTACCTCACACCTGGCACTACCTCATACCTGGCACTACCTCATACCTGGCACTACCATACCTGGCACTACTCCTGGCACACCTCATACACCTACTCACACCTGGCACTCCTGGCAGCTGGCACTGCCTACCATACACACACACAATATTACCATAGCTGACACACGTTATCACGTGTGTGTGTGTGTGTGTGTGTGTGTGTGTGTGTGTGTGTGTGTGTGTGTGTGTGTGTGTGTGTGTGTGTGTGTGTGTGTGTTGTGTGTGTGTGTGTGTGTGTGTGTGTGTCAGTACCAGAGGTGGCCAGAGGAGAGACCCCCAGCTGCAGGACGGACAAAGGACCCACACCATCTCCTTCTCTTCACCTTCCTTCTCCTACATCTCCTTCTCTACCTTAACCTCCTTCTCCTCCTTCAGCTCCATCTATTCCTCCTTCACCACCTGCTACTCCTCCTTCACCGCCTCCTCCTGGAAGTAACCAGATATAGCCTAGGGTGAGGTAAACACTGGCCTGTCTGGTGTGGTCGACGTCTCGTGTCCACAGTTAACCTTGATTTTTTCCCCAGTTGGTTCGCGGGCGTGAGGGAGCCGACCCTTACCGAACCCAACCTAACCTATCCTACCCTAACCTAACCTACTCTTACCTAACCTAACCGACTATTACCAAATCTAACAACCTAACCTAACCTTGTCACAGTATGTCAAAATGGAGGGAAGGCATTGTCTACGAAAACATGAGGTTGTTTTCAGCGCACAATAACAATATCATCATTGTCATATCATCAAGAATATTACCATTGTCATCAACACACAATATCACACACTAGTCATCATATCATTAATATCAATATCAATAAGTCAATATTGTCATTTCACACACACACACACACACACACACACACACACACACACACACACACACACACGACAAAAGATAAAGACCAGTGTGGTACTGTAAGAGCCCCGCTACTGAATATTCACAGATGTGGTTGATAAGCGTCGGCCGTTTCCTGTAGCGGGTAAACCAAGAACGTGTGAAGAAAGGAGCACTTCCTGTCGGAGGTGGGGGTCCGTGACCTAAAGGAGGAGGTACCCCGCCAGCTGCGACACCTTCAGGACAACCCTAGGAAATTCCTCCAAACTCGTC